AAATCGATTTGTGTGAACCCCACTATGTCTTCCCAACTGAGCAATGATGAGATGAAAAAAGATCATTCAGGCTTTCAGTAATAGTACCAACATTCATACTCTGGCTTCTATCTTCAAAGTCCATTCAAGAACCATCAAGAGAACAGCGAATAAGTTAAAAAAATAGTGAACAGTAGAGAGAAAAACTGGATCAGGAGGTCGCAACATGACTAGGTATCATCATTTAAACTTAAAGCTTAATTCTTATTGTTCAAGGTAGAGTCCAATAGTGTTATAAAAACCTTGGAGAATTCCAGTAAGATATCTTTAATCATTTCAAAGATACAACAGTTCAAATCTTATTCTAACAATTGACAATGTTGCTGCTACACCAGATATATTACGATAGTGTTGTGAACAGTACGCGTAATAAAGAAATATGATAATTCGCTTTGACCAATTTGACCAATCAGAACCAGTAGAACTGTGAAGTAGGTGCAAAACTATGGAAATTTTCTTTAGATCACGTATAACTTTAGCAAACTAATATTTGAAAGAACAAATTAAATGAACCCTTATTTTAACTACCAGTTCAAAATATAGCAAAAATGCGTAACTTATTAAGATCTACAAGTGACAGTAATTTGTGGATAGCCTTGATCGCCCGTGTCTTGAGAAGAAAAATATCATCAGCAGACCCTCAGATCATTATTAGCACCTGGATTGGGAAAAATGGAGCTTTCGAAAATCTGCTAACATTTTATTTTGGTGACAATTTTAACTTTTTAACGATTTTAACTACCAGTTCATATTATGCTAGTTTATTTTAAAAACCATTATGAAAAATGAAACACAAAATGTCTTCAAAAATAATCTTCAATACGCAGATTTAAATATTTCTGAATTCATTCACTAATGACATAACATAAACATAACATAAAAAAATAATGACCCAAGATTCTTATAGCAACATCAATAATGTTGATTCTGATTAGGATGATTGTAAGCACCCCCACTAGGGAATGCCGGGAGGAATATGGATCCAGTCAGCTCTATTAATCATAAAGTTATTAAGTTTACCACGTCACGTGACGTCTTTGTGTTGCTTGGCTTTTCAACGGTCACTCTCATATAATTTATCTTTTCATCTTATCCCAGGGGAACAAAGACGCTTGCCGAAAACAATTGCCATTTTATTATTGAAAAATAAATAGATATATAAGCATTACTAACATTAATTTATTGAAAAATATATGACGATACTTTTATAGAGAATAATTGTAAAGAGTGTTTCATTAAGACGGATTATATATAAGAGTGTTTCTTTAAGAGGGATCAAAGTCAGCTGTAAATAAATCAGTGTTATTGGTGAAAATGTCTTTTTTCTATATTGGATCATGTTATTTAAATCATGGCAATTATGCGTGAAAAATAATATCGCAAAATGTCTGCCAAATCTGAAAGAAAAAGAAAGAAATTATTAGTTTGGTTTGGTTTGGTTTGTTTTACGGCATATCAACCTCAGTGGATTATTTAATGCCGACAAAATTTTTATTGCTGGTAATATGTTTTTCTTCAAAAATCTATTTCTGGTAATATTTTTTCTTGAAGAAATCGAAAGCTGGTGATATTTTTTTCAAAGAATATATAACTGTTTGTATTGCTGGTATTTTTTTTCAAGTATTGCTGATGATTTTTCTATCAAAAATTATTGCTGGTAATAATTTTTTTTATTACAAAGTATTTCTGGTATTAAAAACTATTTTTACACGAGTTTGTGTGTTAACTATTTGTCCATAGCTAGGTCCCTAAATGGTGCTACCACCCCAGGTCAGGATGGACCTGAGAACTCCAGAAATTAAAAGGTGGTTCCACGCTCCTCAAAACCTCCTGATCAGAGGTCTTGCTGTTGGATGTAGTTTATCGTCTTACCCAGGACGCGGATGTAGTTTATCGTCATACCCAGGACGGAAGAAATCATTAGACGCTTAAACTTAATTTACATTTAAAATCGGTCCAAGTTATTGGAACAACCTTTATTCTTATACGTATTTACAGAGAGCAAGCTTTTGATTAGAAATTAGTAATTTTGTCGTTTATCCATATAGCCACAATTCCAAGTCCGCTATTTGAAATATACAGAAGTTTAGTCGACAAAACTTCAACGACAGGTTCAATGTGACTTTTGTGCTATATAATCTATTTTAATTATTTTGTGTCAAGGTACATATATATGAATAAAGAAAAAAATGTATCAATTATAAAA